GTAATTCATTTTTTGATAAGATTTTTATTTTTAAGTGATCTCTACACCCAACATGGAGCTCGAACTCACAACCCCAAGATCAAGAGTCACATGCTCTACCGACTGAGCCAGCCAGGCACCCTGGTAGTTCATCATTTTAACTTAAAAAACAAACCCTGCAAGTTCACCAGTTCCTAGGGATGGCTGGGAGGACAAGAGGACAAGCTGATAAATACAACAGAGTTTACAGTTTACCAGGGAAGTGAGGAAAGATGTGTTGTGAAATGCCCAGATACAAAACAGCGAGGGAAGCCAAGCACTTAGAAACACCGCCCACCCGGCCCACCCCCGCCCTGGTGTCCGGACAAATTTTGATTTGAGTGCAGTCATGGAGGGGCCTGCAAACACATAATGAGGGGAGTCTGTGAACATCTCACTCCCGACACCTGAGAATCCATGGTCAGTTCCTCTCTCTGTAGATGGCCTGGACCCTCAAGAAACAAGATGAGAAGAGGGCATCCTCCTTCCAGGCTGAGAGGAGGCAGACAGGAGTACTGCTAGGGACCTGGACCAGGACCAGGACCTACTGCTAGGTCCTGGACCCTGGACCACAGAGCGGGGTCCAGGGAGTCAGAAGGAAGGCAAAGAAGGACCTTGGAGTCTGAAGAAAAGAGGATCCTGACCTTCACATAGATGACAGTGATTTTTAACAGTTCTGTGCTATCTTCCAGGACAGCTCAAATCGGACCGCAAGAAAGAACAGTAGAGGAGTCAATTTCTCATTTCTCAGGCAGGGAGACAGCCAGGGTGGAATTGGGGAGAAGGGAAGGAAGATTTCTGAGCACATACTGTGGCTCAGGTCTGCACTTGACAAGCATCACCCGAGGTCCTCCCAACAACACTAACCAGCTGAGAGCTGACCTGCGGAGACTAGTTGCTGGGTTCACTGCTCTGGGTGCCTCGTCTCGGTAAGCCCCTCCCACGGACCTGGGAGGCAGCTACGCGCATTAACCCCATTTAGGGAGCGATGAAACAGATGAAGAGCTTAGCAAATTGCCTAAGAACAGACAACGAGGGAGAGATTGGCCTCACTTCTGACGTCACAGGCTGAGCTCACCTCAGAATTAGAGTCTGTCATATTAACCGCCTAGGGGACAGAGAAGGCGCCAGCACAGAGTACAGAGCAAGACTTCGTAAGTCACAGGGTTCCGCATCCAAGTCTGGGATTAGGTCATGTGGCCATACCTGTGGCACAAGGTCTCAGGAGGAGGGAGGGCTGAGTGGAGGGACACTCTGAGGCCTTCCTACGTCAGGCAGACAGAGAGGCGGTCTCCAGGAACCAGGAGAGCGGCTTCAGCACAGTGAGCTGGTTAAACCTAACTTCCCTGTCAACCGAGAAAGGAGTAACTGACGTTATTCAGACTTGAATGATACCACTTTCTTTACAGTCTTTCCTCCCTGCCTTAGCTCAAAACATAGCTATTAGAAAACCCAGAAGCTCTCGGTGGGGTCTTTGGATGGCTGGGAGAAACAGTCTGTCTGCTGGGAAGTCCTCTGAAACAGCAAGGCATGGCGGCACCCACTTGGCTTTTAAATCTGGTTTCTGTCTCGTGAGTGGCCTGGGGACATCAGTTGACCCTTCTGAGCCTGTCTGCGTGTCCATCAAATGGGGGAATTAAATACTCCTTGGGCTTGTGAGGATGACAAGCGATGTTATATAAGGTATCCTCTGACTTGTGCTTGACTCACTGCACACACTTCATAGAGGGAGTTAGTTCCCTCTTGCCAACCTTGACTCAGAAGCTTTACAACTGGGGCGTCGGAGCGCCCCTTTCAGGACTCCTGGAGATGGCAGCAAGGAGAGCCTGCGGTGCACCTGCGGGAGATAGAGGAACCTGCCAAGAATTGCCTCTGGGAGCTCGCCTTCACCTCAGTGCTGAGGAAAGAATGTCACAGCCCTGGTGCCAGCAAGATCCCAAATAGCCATCCCGTTTGAAAGGAATGGGGTCATGGAACAGGGAGGGCAAAAGGGCTTTCTGATTAGGAGCCTGACTGGACTTTCCACAGGCGAAGTTGCTGTGGGTGGTCCACACCTTCCTGCTGGCCATGTCAGGAGCTCTCCTTTGGGTTCTGGCCACCTCAGCATACCTCCCCTTTGCCTAAGGGCCCAGAGAGCCTTAGGCCCTCCTCACCTCTTTTCAGCTGCTCCCACTGGTCCGTGGCACGTTCCTCTCCCCCAAGACTGGTGAAGTGGAATTCAGCCATGCCAGTGCTCCCTCTGCTCCCTGCTACTCTTGGCACAGACCTGGAGAGTCACTTCACTTCCCCTCCTAAGCCTCTATTTACTTATCTGTAAAAAGGAACCCACCCCCTCTTAAGGGTTTTACTAAGATTTCCACAGGAAGCAGCCAAGGGAGTGACAAAGTTAACCAATGTGGGAAAGTTATAAACGTTCCAGAAAGTACACAAAGGTCTTGCAGTCCCTGGCTATATACACGGACATTTAGAAAGGCTTAGAACTATATGATCATTAATCGTTAAACGGAAGTTGTAAGAGAGTCAAATGTATACGTGTGTCTGAGGGTGCACACGCGCACACACGTATCCCATGTACGTTTGGTTCGTTATAATAATTAAAGAAGGGTTAAGAGGCACCTGGGTGGCTCTGATGGTTAAGCCTCTGCCTTCAGTTCAGGTCATGATCTCCAGGTCCTGGGATCGAATCCTGGGATCTGGTTCCCTGCTCAGCGGGGAGTCTGCTTCTCCCTCTGCTTCTCCCCCTACCCCAGCTCATGCTCTCTCTCTCTCAAATGAATAAATAAAACCCTTGAAAAAAAAAGAGAGTTGGTAGTTAGCAATGGTTTATATCTAGCATTTGAGATTAGGATGTTTAAATGGCTTCTTTTTAGTTTGTACCCTTTTGTACAGTTTAATTTTTTAATGGGTATATATTGCTATTATATTTTAATGGATATATATATATGGTATATATATATGTGTATTTTATATTTTAATATAAATATATATATTTTATATATATATATTTTAATGGATGTATTTGGTATTTTAACAAATAACTACTGTAACAAACAAAACAATACAAACATGAATGAATAATGCTAACCAGACCTTTCTCTCTCACATCCCTCTTTCCTTTTATCCCTGCAAATGTGGGTTTATTAGCTTTCCTTTCTTACCACTGGCCCCCCCACCCCAATCCTTAGAAAAGCAGGAAAAACAGTAGACATAAATGAGCAAATCCCTCAGATTCCCCAGACTCAATTATGTCCCTGAAGAGCCGTGTCTTATTTCAAAGTGCCCCCAACATTAAAGAGGAAATGTCAAATTAGACCAGTCCTGAACACCTGATCTGCAGGAATGAAAACCAAACTCCATCGAAACCTCAGAGCCTGCTGGAGGACCACAAGGATTTACCAGCTGGCAAGGGTAGTGAAAGACCCTCTGCCTTCCAGTCCCAGTCCTGCCACTAGCCAGCTGTGTAACCATGGACAAGGCCCTTCTCTCTGAGGCTCTATTTCCCCTATTAAATGGGGGTGACAATGCCAACCACTGAGACTGTTAACCGGATCAAAAAAGATCATGAAGTAGAAGCATATTTTCCATTGCGAAATTCTCCACGAAGCTACAGTAGAGCAGGGGGCTTATCAGCCTTTGCATAAAGGGAGGCCACATTTTATTTCATGCAAAATTCATGAATAGACAGAGAGGGAAGAGGGGAATAAGGGAGGGTCCTTGGCATTTTTTTTCCACCCTGGAAATCCAAACCATGAAGAAGACAGAGTGAGTGTGTGTGTGTGTATGCTTATTGTGCCGAGGAGGGTACTTTGGAAGAAAGTGGGTGTGGAACACACCCAGCATCCGATCTCTGCCTAGAGCTGTTCTAAGTGAGTTCTGAGATCTGCCCCTAGAATCCTATGTTCTCAATGCTGCAGACTTGAGTTTCAGGCACAGGAGGGAGAAGCTGGCAAGGAAGCCTGCTCACTCTACTTTCCTACCCTTTCCAAAGCACCTTATTCATCAGGCTGTGACTGGAATCGGGGGAAACCAGGTGTGGTGTGTCTGGGAGGCAACACCAGAGCAGGACTATAGTCCGTATCAGAACCTGAGCCACAGAAGACCTCACTCAGTCCCCTCTCAGCTCTGTGACACTAGGCAAGGCACCATTCCTCCTGTGGCTCATTTCCCTTTCTGCAAAATCAGGGAGTCAGGGGACTGCTCCTTAACCATAGTCATTCTGTGCCTGCCCGTTAGGGAGTGGAGCTTCCAAAAACAGAGGGGTCATTGAGAGCTGGGCTAGGAGCCTCTTGAATTCCCACCAGCTTTTGTCAGGGGCAGACACAGGCGGTTTTCTTTCCTCTGCTTCCTGTGTCCTGCCTTAATGCACTGAAAACCTGCCAACTCATTTTTCTTCCCCTCTCAGAAGGAAAGAAGAAGAGGATGGATGGCTTACTGCAGGGGAGAGAAGACCTATACACCAACATCAAACAAACCAAACTTTATTCTGAAAAGCAAATTAGTAATCACCACTAAACTATTAGAGGCACATTGGTCCCCCTTGCTACTGGCCCACACCCCTCCCACTCCCACCCTCTTTTTTGGCCTTAGTAGAATACTAGAAAATTCCTCTCTTGGATCCGCAAGTAGTCCCAGACTTTTGGACTGGTAGGAGTCCACAGTGGTCTCAAGCTGGACTGAGTCCTGGAGTCGAATGAGGGATGCCAAAGAGGCTGCCTCCAGTATTCAAAAATTCTGGGCCAGGTCAGGTGGCCATTCCTATGGTACAGGGTCTCAGCGGGAGGAGGGGGTGGGTGTGGGGGCTGTTTTACACGTCCTTCTCGCATCTGGAGAAGCAGCTGGAAGCCAAGCAGGAAGGCACATCTAGAAGAGCCAGTGAGCTCTGGAATGTTTCAGGCACATCTGGTTGGATAAGATACCGTGAAGGCGAAGGAGACGTCTGCTCCTGAGTAAGGTCACCCGACCACAGAAAGAGCACCATGAGCCGGGGGACTCAGAAGAGATCCTTAGGGCGCTGGTTCTGAGCTGAGGATGCAACTTCAACAGTGATCTGGAAAAAGAGAAAAGGAACAAAAGCTGGAGCTTAAACCCACTGTTTAGGGCACAGAGGTGCACGGCTCAGTTCCAGGTGTCTGGAATCTTGGAACCAAGTCACAGCACAAGGAGAATTGGAATTTCTCTTGTGTTAAGGCAAAATGAATCTTCATGTGTCTTGGATCTTCCTTTGGACAATGTTGAAGGGAAGCTGTTGGGCAGAGGTCATCCACTCTCCCTTCTGCTGGCCACTCTGCAGCCCTCTGCTGGCCCAGCCCAGAATGGTGCCCCTTGCCAGGGAAGCGAGCCCTGGGAGAGGTCGGCATGACCACTACGGGAATCTCCATGGCCTCAGAAACATGGAAACCTGCAAAAGAAGAACCAGTCTTAGCCAGCCAAGGTACCTCCAAGTAAGTATCCCAGGAAAGGCCAGCCCCCCGCCCCCCTACCGCCTCCCCTGCTCTGGCCAGCACCAGTGGTGGGGGCTGAAAGAATGGGTGCGCCACCGGGAGGAAGGCAGCAGCACTCCAGCCTAAATGAGACCGCAAAGGGCTCAGTGTTCTAGGAGTTCCCGAAGGAAAAAAACAACAGTAACAACAAAACAGCCACAATTTGAATGGGACAGAGTTTCGGTCTTGCAAGGTGAAAAACGTTCTGGAGGTGGATGGTGGTGATAGTTACACAACCATCTGGGAACCTACATAAAGACACCAAAGCATACACTTTGAAATGGTTGAATGGTCAATTTCATGCTACATGTATATTTTACCATGATTTCTTTTAAAGTAGCCACATGAACAGTCTCGAATGTGTATTGCCCCCCTTCTCTAGAGAGTACAGCCCTGTCCTGAGGAGGCCAAATCGCCAGAGTCCAGCTCCTAGCTCCACCCGTCACAGTGGCTGGGAGACTCTAGACAAGGTGGACTCATCTGCCTCCTAGGGAAGAGGAGAACGAGAACACAGCTCGCCACAACAGGGCCAAAAGAATGAAAGAAATACATCTAAGCGCTTTAAGCAGTGCCCACATAAATGCTTTCATGTTACGCATGAAACACGCCCCTCCCCGATCTTTGCAGGTACAAGAGAAAAGCCTCACCCTCTCTACCTAAGCTTCAAAAACACCCCCCCCAAAACACATTCGGGTCTCCCCTGTTCTAGTTTCTAATCCAGACAGGGCTGAGCTTTTTCCAAGAGCAGACCTTTGCGGGATGTGGCAAAATGGCTGAACTTGGTACAAGTCTTTGGGCATTGTGGTGGTCGCCCCTCCAACTTGCTCCCTGAATAAAAACCCCCCACCTTTTGGCAAAAGGGGCTCTGTATTTTTTATTCAAAGGCCTATGACCCCTCCCAAAATTCAGGAAGCACCTTACCTTATGGAGGCTGGGCCAGCTGTTCACCCCAACTTCAGAGCTTTCTCCTCTCTTCGGTGAGTGAGTCCCACTCCTGCCAGCGGCTCAAGGTCCACACCAGCATCTTTTACAGGCAATGTTCTTTTTGACAGGGACACCATCTGGATAACCTTGACTTCATTTTCCAAACAATGTAGAGGAATGTTCAGGTCCGCCAATTCCCAGGTCTCTCATGTGCCTAGCAGGGACAGCTATCTTCTCCCTCATTGAGGCAAGCCCTCCCTCTGCTAGAGAAATACCCTGGGAAGGAGGAGCACCCCAGATCTTCAATCACATCAGAGCCAATGGGCTGGAAACGGTGGGAATGAATGACAGCCAAGACAGCACAGGGATGCTTGGAAGTCTTAGGTGGCAAAATCTAATTGCTCCAGGTCCACAGGCAGTTAACACTGTAAACTAAATTACCTGGGCTTCTTTTATAGCGGGACTTCTCAGAGCCTTTGATATGCTAATGAGCATCGTGAATCTTCAAGTGGGCGAGAGATAGCACCATGACAAACCCATTTGAAAATGAAACCGTCTTTTAGACTGTAGCTCCTGAGCCAGGGTTCCTGGGAACACCCACCGCTTTAATGTAAACAGTGCTGGGCTGGGAGACTGGAAACCGGGTTCTAATCTTATTTTGGCTTTACCAAGAGCAAGGGGTGAGGCTCACCATGTCATTCCCTCAGGGTCCTGTAGGATCCCTAATGCAAAAAGACATTGGAAGGTGGAGGTGGTGGAGCAGAAGCCCGTGAGAGAAACGCTGGGAAGCTGAGGCCAGGGAAACTAGTGTGCGTTTGGGCCTGGCCTCCAAGAACCCCGAGGCCAAAGGCGGAACAGGCAAAGGCGAGAGCAGACTCCAAACGTGCAAAGGTGCTGCCCGCGGGCCTTTCCGATCCATCCTCACCTTTGCAGACGCGCCCCACCCCAATGTCAGAGCACTGGACCGCGCAGGATGCGCGCACAATCCCGAGCTGAAACGAAACTCCTCGCTCATCCTGAGACCTGTGGAGGCCTGTCCTCGACTCTGTCCGCGGCTGCGAGCCTGCCCTTCACAGCACTCGAAGCTGGAAGAGGGGCCAGGGAACGGGGATGCTCTTCCGACAGCGGGCCGGGAGGGAGGGGGCAGTGGCGCAGCCAGAAGGCTGGTTCCAATTGGGAGCCTCCCCCGGATCTACGCGGCGCCTGTCCACGTCTCGCTCTCGGCACGGAAGGGGGCGAGGAAGCGCGAGGTTTCGCCTCGGACGGCCAGGATGCGTGGGGGCCCGCTGTTCGGATGCGGCCCTGCCGGGATCCCAGGAAACGGCGCAGGCGGCGCGTCTGGCCAGACTCCAGGCGGCGGCTCTGCGGTCGGACGGGAACTGCCGGCCAGGGCGCCCGGGCGCGGGCGGGAGCGCGGGGCGACGGGTGGGTGCCGGGGCGCACGGGTGCGGGGCGGCGGCGGCAGGAAGGACGGGGGCGCCGGTCTCGGGAGGGTCCCCGCCCCGCGGCGCGGCGGCTCACGCCACCTCCTGCTCCCCTTGGTAGCGGCGGCAGCAGCCGTAGAGGGCCGAGAGTAGGTAGAGGCCGAGGCAGAGGCCGCCGCAGACCGCGGCCGCCAAGAAGGCGTGGTAGGCGCAGGCCATCTGGTAATCCTTGAGGTTGCAGTAGCTGTGGCTCTGCGTCTGGGCGATCATGATGCCCGTCGCGGCGCCGTAGAGCGCTGCCGCCAGCAGGTCGTGTGCCACGTTGACCACGAGCCAGCGCGAACCCAGCACGGGCACCAGCTCGTGCTTGCCCAGCAGCGTGAGGAAGTAGAGGCCCAGGGTCAGCAGCCAGAAGAGCACCGACACGAAGAGCGCGAAGTGCACGGGGCCCTGGTACCTGCTCGTGGCGATGGTGATCCAGAAGGCGGCGCCGGCCAGCAGCTGCAGCAGCCGCAGCACGCCCAGCGGGCCGCGCAGGAAGGCCCTCTGCAGGCGCACCGGCCCGCGGACCGCGCGCGCCTGGGGCGGCGGCTGGCGCGGGGGCGGCGGGACCATGGCCCCCGGGCGCGGTGGCGGCGGCGGCGGAGCCCCGAGTAGCGGAATGGCTGCGCCGGGCTCGCGGGGGTGGCCCGGCCAACGTGCCCGCTGCGCCCGCGGCGGCCTCCTCGCGTCCCTCCGAGTCCTCTTCGCGCTTCCTCTCCCCTTCTCCCCACCCTTCCTCCACTCTCTCCTCCCTCCAGCCCTCCTCTCTTTCTCCCCGTCTCCACCACTGCTACCCGCCCTTTGGCTTCCCCTCCCCGTCTCCACCCCCACTCGCTCCTCCCGGCTTCCTGCCATCTCTTTTTGGGCCTCGCTCACCATCCCGGCCCCCCTTTCCAGCCGGCGCCAGACTCCCAGCTCGGATTCCTTTCTCCCCGGGGCGCGGCGGAGGGCACTCACACCTCCGGGCCGCCGAGGGCCTTCCGCTCTGGCCGCCCGGGCCAAGTTTTGGCACATCTAGGGCCACCCTGCCTGCCCTGCCTGCCCTGCCTGCCCTGCCTCCCCAGCTCCCGTCCAGCCTCAGAGGGGAAACGCTGTCTTCTGGAGCGTTCTCTCAGCGCCTCGCTGGGCCTCTTTCTTTCTACTTTCTCCTGCCCTAGGGCCCACCTGGGCCTCTTGGCCTTTTCCTGGCTCTGGAGGAGAGCGGCGCTGGTCTGAAGCTGACATCCGTTCTCCCCTGGACGTCTGGAATGTGCCCACCTCACTCTTCTCCGGTCCAAAGCTGGGCTCTCAGACATCAGAGTAAGGGACGGTTCCCCACCAGAGACCCCCCCCCCCCCGCTTCCCCTCCCACACACCACAAAGCCAAGTCCTATCAGTCCATCCTCATTTTTCCAACCTCCTTGCCATCCAGGGTCGCCTCCATTAAAAATGTGCTATCAGACATGGACAAGGCACCAAGCCTGGTGTAAGAGAGAGCAAAGCCCCCCTGTTTAACTAGGATACTAGGCAGAACAGCGTCCAATGGAAGCTGATGATGCATTTACACGTAAGCCCACTTAAGCCTCAAAACAGCCTCAGAGATAGAATTCTTTTCCTCCTTTTACTGAGGAGGAGAAATGAGGTCTAGAGGAGTTAAGCCCATTAACCTCATAACTGCAGCTGGTGTCCCTTGTTTCCCCAGCCCATTCAACCATCGCTCACCGTGACATTCCTCTAAAACACAGACCTGGCATGCGTTGCTTCCTCCACTGACCACAGGATACAGTTTTATCTCTTCTATGGGCTTATTTCACAAACTGGCTCCAACTGACTTTCACTTTCCTTGTTTCCCACTTCCTTTCCTTACCCCTGCTCCCATGGGGCTTGCCAACCCCACCTAACCTCTTAAATCCCCCCAAATAATCTCAAAAAGCCCTTCATTCCCAGACCCCACTTGGCTGGAAAACTCCTACTTAGCCTTCAAGGCCCAGTTTAAATGCTCCTCCCTTTGCTCCAGACTCCCAAGCTGTTGATTGCTGGCTCTTTAGACCCTCTCTTGGAGCATCCAGAAGTTATGCAGTGCTCCTGAGTCTGGTACATTGCTTGCAACTGCTGGCTGTCACCTCTATCTTTGCCTGGAAATAAGAAACTCAATAAATATCAGCAGAGTGCAGAACTAGTCCCTCATCTCCTGGTCATGGAATGTGTCCATCGGCCCCCTGGCCTGGCTGAGCAGGTCTCTCCTCTCCCAGCACCCTGGCATTCCTTATGGGAGAAAGTATATGTGGTTTCTCAGGGGGCTGAGGCCTCTTGCTGCACAGCCCCACCTGCAGGGACCTGGGACAGCTGTGAGCACTTATTTTAAATGAATAAAAGGTGATGTGTAACCTCCATCACCGTGTAAAATAGCATGGTATTGAGACAAGGGTGCAAGCCGTGGAGGCAGACTGCTGGCTATGCATTACGGCTTCACCACTCCCTTGTGCTGGGACCTCACACTTAACCGCTCTGTGCCTCAGTTTCCTCATCTGTGAAATCCTTTCATTAAGCAAATGGATTTTAAGCACCTGTTAGGCACTGGGCACCATTTGAGGGTCTAGGGATCCATAAGACATATGTGATCATTATTCACTGAAAGCTCTCTATGCTCTAGGCACTGTTTTTTGTCATTGTTTTTTTTTTGTTGTTTTGTTTTTGTTTTTGTTTTTGTTTTAAGATTTTATTTATTTATTTGACAGGCAGAGATCACAAGTAGGCAGAGAGGCAGGCGGAGAGAGAGGAGGAAGCAGGCTCCCCTCTGATCAGGGAGCCCGACATGGGGCTCCATCCCAGGACCCTGGGATCATGACCTGAGCCGAAGGCAGTGGCTTTAACCCACTGAGCCACCCAGGTGCCTTTGTCGTTGTTTTTTAAGTAAGCTCTACGCCCAGGGTGGGGCGTGAACTCACCCCCAGGTCAAGAATCACACGCTCTACCAACTGAGCTAGCCAGGCACCCCTATATTCTAGGCAATGTTAACTGATTTGCCAGTGGGGAAGCCAGGGCTCAGAGGGTGAAGGAAGGTGACCATGCTCACAGAGCTGGTGGGTGACAGTTTAAACAGGGGCCCACGTGTGGCTGGCTCCAGGTTCACGTTCAAAGTGCTTATATGTTGGGGCGCCCGGGTGACTCAGTGGGTTAAAGCCTCCGCCTTCGGCTCGGGTCATGATCCCAGGGTCCTGGAATCGAGCCCGGCATCGGACTCTCTGCTCAGCAGGGAACCTGCTTCCTCCTCTCTCTGCCTGCCTCTCTGCCTACTTGTGATGTCTGTCTGTCAAATAAATAAATAAAATCTTTAAAAAAACAACCACAAAGTGCTTATATGTTACTTTTTCAGATTTTATTCTTGGCTACAGTTACAGAGGCCCAGAGAGGTTACATAACTTGCCGGGAGAAACAGAACTAGCAAGTGTCCATGTGGAGACTCAAACCTAGGTCTTCTGATCCCAATTCTGGGGCCTTTCTCTCAGCTTCCCTTAGCAATCAATCCCTCCTGGGATATCCTCAGTGTCCTCAGGGTGCCGGTTATGAAAAAGGCTGGAGCTAGGACAGGCACCTGGGGGCTGACTCTAGGTGCTGGGCTGATGATGGGGTTATGCTCCATAAACTACGTCTGTGAGCAGGGGACCTAACCAAATCAACACTTTGAGGGAGAGAAGAGTCCTCTGGCATCTAAGAAAGGCATCTGCAGACTTAAGGGTGGTGTGCCGCCTGGTGGGCACAAATCTTCAGCCTCGCAGCTCAGCCCAGCTCCTTACAAGGAAGCCAATGGGGTGGTTTGGGGAGATATTTTTAGCCTCTGGAATCCTGAAGACATTCCAAGGGACAGTCCCAGGAGACGCTGCAAAAGCATAAGCATGCAAGAAGATATCCACAAATATGGCCTAAGCACCTGTGGGATGCAAACCATCTGGGTGTGGAACGGAGGAACAAGGAGCACCGGCTCCTGCCCTCACTGTGTTTGCACTTTCTCGATAGTACAGCGACAGCTGTGGACACAAAAGGGAAAAGAAGGTAGATGCAAGGAAATCTAAAAGGGAGAGTATGTGTGATGGAAGGGCTGGGAAAGCTTCCAGAATAGGGCATCTCTGGAGGGTGGATAGAGTTGTGACAAGCAGAGATGGTGACTAGGCATTGTTGGGCAAGGCGGTCCCCCATGGGGCCTGAGCAGCCATGGCTCTTAATACTGAGTGTGCTGAGAATGCAAAGCCATGGTCACCCATTCACTTTCCAACCATTTCTGGCTGCTGTGTTCTGCAGCCAATAAGTTTGTGGGGTCAAGGAACATTCACCCCCCCAGACAGACAGTAGGCTTGGTTGTTGCTTACTGTAAGAGTGGTGGTGGTAGGAGGGGTCAGGGGTGGGTTCCCCAAGCTCAGTGCTGCGTAGCTGTGACATAAAGCTCCTGCATAGGTAACATCCACCAGGGCCCCTCTGCGTTGCCCCATCAAACTAGGGAGTGAAGGAAAGAGACATAACGATGATGCTCGTGCTGTGCCAAGAGTGGTAAATCCTTCGAGTCTGACTCAGGAGACCATATCTTCTGCCCGCATTTATGAAACAAGAGCAGGCTAGCTTATTAGCTTGTAAGCGGGCTGAATCGCAGCCCCTGACAGATGCTATAGGCAAAGGGAAGAGTGTGAGCAAGGCCTCCGTTGCTCAGGCAACAAGAATTAGTGATGCTTGCTGGACGTTGTTCTATGCCCCAAAGCAATGACTTTGACTATGCCCAGAAGGGGAGGCAGCTGATAACAAGGAGGGAAGCGTGGCCCCCTGGAGATCCCATGACCCGATCCTGCTGGTCGGTCAGTTCCTTCTTCAGCCTCTGGGCTACTGTAAATCATTGCATTCATAGACCCAACTCACACTGGTTTAATACCTATTACGTGCCAGGCCCTGAGTTGGCCCTTGACATAAATTAGCTAACAGCAGAGGCAGAACTCACAGCGAGGAAATAGGTGGGTGTTGGCACCTGCAGAATCTTGCCCGGAATCTTAGAGTTAAATTACTAAATCAACATTTCCTGAACACCTGCTGTGTATGTACCTGGCATTACACCACAATCCTATACCTGAGTTGGAAGAGGGCTTAAAGATCATTTGTTCCTGGCTTCTCATTTTATGCAGGGGTAGCTATGGCCTGGGGAAGGTAAGTGACTATCCCCAGGTCCCACAGCTGGTTGATGATGGAAGTGCCAAGTTTAGAACTTAGGTCTCCTGACTCACTCTCCAGTGCTCACTCGGGGCAGGGAGCTCTGCGCATGAACACTCTTTTGGTCACCAAGCGGCTCACACCTCCAGGCATGTTCCCAAGGCTGTGGGAACACCGAGCTCTGGAATGGTGGGTGGGGTGGGTGGAGTGCCCTCTGGGCTGGAGTTGGGTAGGAATTGGGCGGGGGGGGGCTCCTGAGTTTGTTATTCCAGCCCCCAAGGAGGACCTGGCCTTGGCTGGAGCTATGAAAAATGGCCTGGATTCTGGGCCCCTTTGGGCAGACAGAGGCAAGGGGCCACAGTCTGGGCATGAAGTGGTAAAGGCATTTGACTCTGGCAAAGCTCAGCCCTCGCTCCCCAGGAGAAGCCGGCCAGGACAAGACTTGCAGCCACAGGCATCCTCTGAGTCTTGACTTTGTGCGAAGCCACCCAGAACACTGGCTGGTGAGGCTGGGTCCTTAAGGCTAGGGAACCATGGTGTCCAAGGGAGACACCCATGAGACTTGCCCGTGAGCTACTGAAGATGACCTCCTACTGGGACCTATGGTGGGGTGGGCAGACCCCAGC